CTGCTGTGTTTCAGGTAACTACCACTTTCACAAATCCCACTAGTGACAATTTTTGCCATAACATCATTTGGATCGTTGCTACAGTGGCTTCTGACCAGGTAAGCTTGCTCCCAAGCTTAAAACTTTGCTCCTTTACCCGCATTAATGCAGACATCCAGCCTGCACCTTCAAGGAGACAAAAGTGATCCAGAAACCTACTTGACCAACTTGACGCTTCAAAAAAATGCTCTTAAAAATGAGAAAAATCTCAGCACTGATTTCTTTTGTTTTCCTTTTAATAAGAGCAGTCTTTTGGCAAAATGCTGCTTCCTTCAAGCACTAAACCTCCTCCTCCTTTGTTACAGCCACATTACAGAACATAATTGGCCAATGTCCCTTTCAAAAAGAAAATTGAGATGCCTTTCCACAGAAGTAATGTGATTACAAACGGCTGCCTTGCAAAAAAATTTAAATATTTTACTACACAAAAACCATTTCAAATGCATACATTTCACTGACTGTGCTGACCTGTAGACAAATGGATAACCTTCAAGGAGGAGGACGTCCTTTTAGTTTCAGTCTTTTCCCCCTCTCCTTCCTTTTTCCCTCTCTGGCCTTTTTGCTAACAGCTTCATATCTGCTCCTCGAGATCCACGCAGTCCACCTTTACGCACCAGTTCACCCGTTCGAACCCCAGCGCTGGGGACGGTGCTGGTTTCACTGCCACCCTGCAGGGATTTGTCACCAGCCTGCTGCAGAAGAGCTCCTTGCTCAGGAGCTGCCACCGCAGTCCCCGACAGCCACGATGATGCATCCTCCTCCGGCGCCCGGACCAAAGGTTTGCACAGGGCTGGAGAGCGAGGCAGGCAACAGCTAAACTGCAGCCGGAGGATTCAGCACGCTGCCGAAATCCCCCAAGCAGGCAACGGGTTTTGTAGGCTCACGGGAGGCAGGCGAGATGGCGGTGGCTGCCCCACGGCGGCCGGAGGGACGTGCAACGCAGGAAGAGATCGAGGCCATCGCCAGCAGCAGGTACAGAGGATGCTTCGCAAATTTTACCTCTATGTAAGACAGGTATTTGCAAGTTGCAGGACATGGCTGAGAAAGATAAAAACACCAGAGGGAAGCCAGAGCAGGGAAAACACTGTTGTTTGCAATATTACCACTACAGAAGTGCTCTGGACTATAAAAAGGCTCTGTTTTTTTAAACATATCCCTACTGCGTTACAAGTCAACCGCCAACATTCACGTTGCTCAGGGCTATTGTATCTAGCACAGCACAGCTGCTAGATACAATTCTAGATTCTCCAGGCTGACTAGATGTACTCCAAAACATTTAATTACAAGGTGTTCCTTAAAAATTAATCTGCATCACCATAATGATCCATTTTTTGCAGTCCCACGCTACCGTCCAGCTATCTCGGATACCGGCAGACATTATCATCCAGGCGGTTTGGGAGTTAAGATGTTCCATGAGGAAAAGTTCTCCCTCCCAGGAGTCAACTTGTGCTCTGGCGCAAAAGTTTGCATTCACAATCACAGGTATCTTCTTAACTCGCAAATCAGAGTTCTTAGCTGTGTTTTGTGCAAACTGTTCCAGCGCTGTTTCAGTGGTTCTTGTACTGAAAAGCAACTCAAGGCTAACTATGCAGTGCACACAGATAATTTACTATCATCCCAAATGCCAACCTGCATTAACAGATTTGCTACTGTGCCTTCTGAAACCATCCACACACTTTCAACACTTTTCAGGTGCCTTCAGAGCAACTCTACTGTACAACAGAAAAAAATTAAGCTGCTTTTTTTTTTTTTTTTTGCAAAGTGACTGCAGAACACCTTTGACACCAATCTCAGCTTCCTGTTAAACATAAACGTGAAATAAAAGCTCCTCCCTTGCCTCTTCTAGTGTAAGGCTTCTTTTCTCAATTCCCAGCTCTAACACAAGTCTAGATCACCCCAAACCAGGAAGGTCCTTTTATTTCTCCACTCCAGTCCTTCCCATCATCCAGAGGACTGGGACTAGAATGTGTGTAGCTAGAGATGGAATATTTAAAAAAAAAAAAAAAAGGAAAAAGTCTTTTTTGGAATGCTAGTATTTTACCCTTAGCTGGGAGTTAGACAGTTGCCTGAATTGCAGAGAAAGTACTCTCAAGAGACAAATGAAAATCACTGTTTGTTTTCAGCAGCATTTAAGGAAACGCCTCGCTGTTGTAGGTAACCTGCAACACCTTGGCACTGACAAACGCACCTCGAGTGCTCTTCACTCCAGACACCTCCAAGTGGAAACCAGTGCAGAAGAGGAAGGACACCTTTCAAAGGGTCAGGTCAGTCCAGTTTGTGTACTCTAGAAATACTCAGAACACGGATGTACAATATAGAGAAAGTAGTAAATGTTCTGTTTTAATTTACCATCTGCCTCAATGACCTTAAATTTCTCTGCCTGTTGCATAGACTTAGGATCTAGGAATCTCCTGCAATAAATTCCTTATTTCGCATTTCTTTAATTATAAGCAGATTTTAAAAGTACCATAAGAGATTATTGCTGCAGCAGCAAGCAGCAAAGTCCCTGCAGATGCTTCTGTCTCATAGAGCATGGGAGCAGACATTATATGCTTTTTTATTATGGTTATCAGCAATAGTTGGATTAATATTTTAATAGGAACAAGGATGCCACGATTGTAAGTTACCATTTGGCTCTTCATCAAGTCTTGTGACCCCCAGATTTTGACACCTTTTGACAAAACCCCCAGATTTTTTACAGGTGAGAAACAGTGTCTCTCCCAGCCTTGTAACATCTCAGACCTCACATACGACTGCTTTAAAGCCGCTTCTGGAGAACACGGGAGATAGCAGCATATGAACTTTTGCTGAGAAAGGGAGGGTGCAGGGTAGACAAAGCGTGCTGGTAATTTTTCTTTCACAGCATACTACTTGTAGAACTTCACGCTAACAGCTAGGTTAATTATTTATACTCCAAGAGCTTATTTTGAACTCGGCTCCTGCTCCATCCCTCGCAGTGCTTGCACGCGTTTCACCATGGCCGGCGGGTCAGAAACCAGTCGGTGGGGCCAGCCTGTGCGTTTTACTGGATGACTTCCCAGCCAAATTAGCAACTACAACCTCCCTCTTGATGGCAGCACAAATTCAAATCGATCTGTGCTCCCGGCCACTCTCTCCTGGTACAGCTGTTTTGGCTAGCTCTCTTTACCAAGACGGTTATTTATTCTAGCAAGGAAATTCTTTTGCCAGTATAGTTTAAATATTTGCCAGTATAGTTTAAATTGCAAATAAGCTGTAACAAGAAAGGATTTTCTTATAAGTGCAGTGTTAAGAGACTTTTGTCTGCACAAGTTATAGATATGATTCTCCCACCATCTGAGTACCCTTCAGCCAGACGGACACTGGACCAGGACCGTAGTTTCACACCTATGGGCAGGAGTACCTCCTCACACCAGCATAAAGACCTCATCCATCCTTCTCTCATCCCTTCCCGGCTATCGCTACACAAGCACCACACCGCTACATGGAAAACTGGATCAGTTAATTGATGTGAATTAAGGCTAACAGCGTAAAAAGCAGAATTCATGCTTCAGTCTTTAAAAATGAGTCATCAGCCATCCCTTAAATTTTAAATATCAAACTCAAATTCTTACATCATCTACTTGGACATCATAGCCTGTATTTAATTTCACCTGCAGCTTTAGTTCTCCAATGTGCACCACTAAAGAACCATTTAACAGTACCCGTGGCCTTTAGGAGACGTTTCCTCATATTTTCCTTCAACAGGCTTGAAATGCTCTCTTTTATTAGAGTTTCTGAAGAGGGTCAAGAACCATCAGTAGTCTGTGGTATACAAAACCCCACCCCTCAAAACAGCAGTTCTGCTTTTCACCTTGAAACCAACCACCTAAAGTCCATTTTAAAATACTAAATTTGCACTGCTCAGTTGATTACTTACAAGTTATTCCCATTGCTTTCAAATTTAGGCTAAGAGGTGACAAAAGCAAGACAAAAAGAAGCATACCTAAAGCATGATTCTCTTCCACTTTCAGCTAAAGCTCTTAAATAAATATACAAACATAAATAATAAAAAATAAATAAATACACAAAAATAAACAAATATATCTGGCATTAAGCAGATCTTAAGAATGTCTGTAGGACTTTTTTTTTGATAAGTGAAAGTGGTTAATCTGCGCTGCATTTATTTTCCAATATAACAACAAGAGTACAAAATACTCACCCCTTGGGATCCTTGAAACTGAATTGCAGGTTGAGAAGAAACACAACCCTAGGAGAGAAAGAAAACAGGGGGAACGTAAGGAAGATGACAAACCTCCGTGCTCCGGCAGAAGTCATTTTGCTGCGGAAAGAGAAGGTGGATGTGCCCGCGGCGAGCGGGAGGGCTCCTGGCGCCCGTACCATGACGCAGACCCCGCCAGGGCTCCAGCAGCAGCCAGGGCTGCCCGAGAGCGGCTGCGCTGTTGTGCTCAGCAAGGATGCCGGGGCACCGCCGGCAGACTGAGAAAACGCTGGAAGTTGTACAACGGTATTTGCTGGCACGGAAAGGAT